TTGCATGGATTCAAGATCTATTTAACACTAGTGTTCCGTCTGAATTTACTTATGCAGAAGAAGACAATCTTATCGAGTTATCTTGCGATAACAGTTTGGAAGCAAAATTTGGCAGCATGAAATTGACAGAATTTTGGATTTCAATAAAAGATGAATATCTTCTTCTAAGTGATAAGGCTCAGCAGATTCTAATTCCATTTTCGACGTGGTATTTGTGCTAAGCTGTTAATAAAGTAAAAAAAATAATGAAGATACACGAGTTTTATTCATTTGTATCTCTTACTTACGAATAGCCATACTTAAGGTAGGGCGCCATCTAACAATTTTAATTGAAAAAGGGCGCCGTGACTAGGAAAAGTTTGGGAACCACTGATCTACTGGTAGTCTCGGAAGCCTTCTTATAAACGGAAAATAAGTAATGTGGCCGATTGTTATAGCAAATATAGATTTGCTTAATCTACAATCCAGCCACAGAATATGATATGGGAAAATGCCTGGCCTTCGTTGAAATTGACATCTGCCATGCGACCTAATGACACTTGTGGCAATGTGGTGTAGTGTTTGAAGTGTCTAGATTATACGCTGCACTGTCATGGTTCGAGTCCCTCTGTGGATGTTGATAAGGCCTAGGCGAGGTCGAAACTGCTGTTCGCCTTGGATGAGAATACTTTTTGAGAAGCAAGCCTGCGTAAGGTGGGGAAATTCAATTACAAGTCCCCTCATCACCTTAAACGAAATAGAGTGGATACGCATATGTGCATTCTACGTTTGTTATTTACTATCAGTCTGAGTGGTTCCCCGTCCATATTCAGTCATCTATAGGTTGTTAGTGCTCTTACTTTCTTTATTAATGAACGCACTCTATCTGCTCGATGAAGAAGACGATTATAATATATATATATTTTGCGGCGTTTGACTGGCATTTTGTGGCATTATCACCAAGTTGGCTACTTGAGTGTTGCGTCTGTTGTCTTTTCATTCAGAGGAAGAAGGTGACCGCTATCAATCGGCTATCAATATTGGCTAGAATTAATATTATTTTAAATAGATTCCACACATTTTACACGAAAAACGTAAGTTTTTTGACAGCACATTGAAAATTTTCTTGACTGTCATCAACCTTTTAACCTTGATACTTAACATCAAGCTTCGCTATGAAGTGCCTCGGTAAACGTCAGATATGAAATGTGTATACTAGATTGTTTAGCTGATTTATCTCCTCCCGTTTTGAAATGTGATCTTGGGGTATATATATATATATACCATTACTGATAATAAAAAACTATAAACATTTTGTATATAAAAGTGCTATAACTAATCCTATTAATCTTTGCCAACTATTGCATTGGGCTATATTTATTGCCCTTGCTCCCTTAAGTCCAGTCTAATATTTTGCGTCCATTGTTCCCTTTGTCGGCTTATTTATTGCTTTTTTATTGAGCAAAGAACCTGCATACTTTGTACATACTCGATATTGTTTGCATTTTTTCGCCTCTAACCTGAGAGCACTAATTATTCAGCATGACACCACTCCATATTTCCTTCAGAGGGCCTGTTTAGTGCCACTCCTGAAGTCATTGCCTTCCATCAAGCACTACGCTTTCGTGCAGCCTTTCAGCCCAATGAGGGTCAGGTGACCGTGATGGATGCGTTCTCGGGGAGTGGTTGCAACAGCATACAGTTGGCGCTGGCTGGCTTCAAGGTGCTTGCACTGGATCTAAATCCCAAACGCATTGAGATGGCGCGCAGGAACGCCGCCGTGTATGGAGTACAAAATTCCATCACGTTCATTTGTGCCGACTTCTTTAAATGGGCACGTGGTCGCTTGAACAACAATAATAGGAGTCTTGAAAGCGGTAAGAGGGCTACGAAGAAAAATGCTAATTTACTTTTAGCCACGATGAACATTTTTATGTTTTTTGTCTGCATGTACCTAGCAAAGTGAACTACTGCGACAGTCCCA